CTTCCTCTCTCGCCCTCCTCCTTTTTTTTTTTTTTTTCTTGGCGTTTGCCTGCTTCTGGTTCTGGTGTGATGTTGGCGCTTGGCCAGGCTGGCTGTTGTGACTTGTGCCCTAGAAACCACGACTCGCCTTCACACGCGCTTGCGCTTTTCACCCCCCTCCCTGTCTGTTCCAGCGCTGATTGAGGCCGATGTTGAACCACGCCACGTCATGACCCTTCGCGATAACATCAAGTGCGACTCCCCTTGCTCCCCTTGTCCTGAAGGCCCCAGTCACCAAAAAAACTTTCCCTTGGCCAAGACTCGCTTCCGCTGACCGCTGTTCGTCTCATTGCTTAGGAAAACTATTGCTCTCGAAGACGACGTCAACATGGTCAGCAATCGCAAGTTTGTTCAGCGCTGCGTCTTTCAGGAACTTTGTCAGGTCAGAGCTTCCATGCCTCGCCGCGCGGCCCGTGCTTCCTTGATGTCTTGGTGCCACCGCTCCCCTTCCCCTGGGGCCGTCTCATCTCGACTTGATTGCCCGGACAGCTCGTCGACCCAGACGTGACCGTTTGGAAGCCCCGCAAGAAGCGCGCCAACGTCATCATGTTTGTCGGTCTACAAGGCGCCGGCAAGACCACCACCTGCACCAAGGTGTGCCCCGCTCATCCAAACCTGATGATTCCCAGCTCTTTGCAGCGTGCAATCAACGGGCCCGCCCGCCTTCTGTTTTGAGTCGCTCGCATGCTTATCCGTGTTCGTTCCACAGCTGGCCCATTATTATCAACGAGCCGGCTGGCGTACAGCACTTGTGTGTGCCGATACCTTCCGTGCCGGTGCCTTTGATCAGCTCAAGCAAAACGCCACCAAGGCGCGCATCCCCTTTTACGGCAGCTACACCGAGGTTGATCCCGCTGTCATTGCTGCTGATGGCGTCGACCAGTTTAAGCGCGAAAAATTTGAAATCATCATCGTCGACACTTCCGGTCGTCACAAGCAAGAAGCTGCCCTCTTTGAAGAGATGCTGCAGGTACCCGCCTCGTCGATGCTTTTTACTGTGTCCTTGCGCCTTGTTATCTTGGCCTTCCCCCCCCCCCCCC